CCTGCTGTTCTCAGCATTCTCACGTCTTCTGAATGGCGCGGGTTTCCCCAGGCTTTTCTGCATCGTGAATGTCTTCTTCCTCCCCCTCCTCTCCTGTTCTCTCTGCAGACTCGGGTGGTCATTTGAGGCCAGATCAGGGCGCCTCGTCGTAGGAGCACAGGTCTCCCCCCTCTCAGTCCTGCAGACTAGAATGTTTAGGACCCCCGTGGCCCCTCACGTCACTTGTGGACAGCTAGAATACATTCCCTTCATTTCCGAACACCCCACGGTGCTCAGTATGGCTCATTGCATGGGAGCACGCATTAATGCATCTTTCTTGAAGAAAATAGATTCCTGCCTTTTGGGAAAAGCGTTCCTTTGAGAATATTTTCTCAGTGAATATAACTACTCTGCCCCTCCCAGGTGTCTTGGGAGCAAGTGCTTTCTTTCTGGAGAGCATGGAGTAACCCTGCCATTTCTGTTAACACTTCTTTCTGAGAATGTATTTTCTCATTGTTAACGTGCGATTGTGAGATCCTCGTTTCTCAACCCACAAAACATTGTGGCCCTACTCTCCTTTTTCTTTGGGTCTGGCCTCGTCTCCCCAAGTGAAAAATAGGACGATGGAATCTAAGCAGTTTACTGTCTGGGTTTTCCTGGGATCTAGAGAGGCAAGAAGGAAATAAAGGGCCATTGCCACATATTTTTCATAATAGCTCTATGATAGCCTTGTAGGTTACACGTTTAGCTGTGCGTTCTTGAACGTCTCCTCTATGTGCCCCAGTAAACTGATGGAAACCCATAGGCCTTGTGAAACGTTTTGTACGAGTTAACTGCTAGTCGTCATGCTGAGCCTATGAACATGCTCTGATGTGGCTGCAGGCAACATACACGTCTTCAAGTGAAAGGCCAGACCTGGCTTCCTGAAAGTAACGGGAAGGGAGGCTTCATCCTGGGCTGTCCCATATCTTTAGGTGTTAGAAACAGCTTTCTCTTTTGCACTGAGCATTATTAGATGGAGATTTCAAAATGGAACTGCAGTTAACCGTATTGTACATTGTTTTAATGTGGAGTGTTGTGTCCATCGAGTTTGTAAAGATTATGCAGATTAATTTTTTTTTTTTTTTTTTTTTTTTTTTGAAAAAAAATTCCAGGGAGTTCCAAAAAACAAAACTTGAATTTGCCACATGCTGGCAACTATTTACATAGCATTTACATTGCATTAGGTATTAGAAATAATCTAGAGATGATTTAAAGTATAGGGGAGGATGTACCTAGGTTATATGCAAATACCATTTTTGTGTGTGTGTGTGGTATGTGGGCCTCTCACTGTTGTGGCCTCTCCCATTTGCGAAGCACAGGCTCCGGACGCGCAGGCTCAGCGGCCATGGCTCACGGGCCCAGCCGCTCCGCGGCATGTGGGATCTTCCCGAAACGGGGCACGAACCCGCGTCTCCTGCATCGGCAGGCGGACTCTCAAGCACTGCGCCACCAGGGAAGCCCCAGATTAATTTTTGAAATACTTGAATAAATGAAGTCCTTAGAGCACTTAGCAAGCTTATGTAGTTGTAGTAAATTTTAGATTAACTGTGATCCTTACTGCAGGTTGGAGCCAGCTTTTTTTGTTTTAACCATCTCTCTGATACTGTGATGAGAAAATTATCATGGGGACATGTTTCTATATAAAGATATTCCTCTTGATTAAAACTTTATAGGGACCAGTATACGTTTAATGTAATGATTGTTTCTGAAAATACCTCTTCAGGGGTAGTTGACACCATCTGATACCCTAAGAAGACCCTGAGCAAACTATTCTTGTCTCGTAAGTCGTAACACTTTCTTAACAGCTTAAAATTAGCCTTAATTACATTTCCAAATTGAACTCTGCCATCTATAACTATCACTATTTGATTTATTCAGTTTTGTGAGAGTGAATATTTTTAGTAGAATTTGCTTTGTTATTTTAAGAGGTATTTTGTGTATCGGTTAAACGTTTAACAAATGCTTTTATATTTATCATAAAACTTGTGACGTATAAATTATTATGAAGCTTTAATAAAGTCAGTTAACCTTTAAAATGTCAGCTTCCTCATCTGTAACAGGGGTAGATAAAAGGGATAGAATAAATGGAAGAGAACTGAATAGCGCCTGACACATACCAAGTGCGTAATGAATACGTACGTTTTTAAGTTATTTTAAAAGCAGGTGAAACTTGCTCATGCCCCACAATTCAAAAGGTACACGATGGGATACAGTGGAAAGCGGGAGTCCCCTCCCTGCTCATCTTGGTCCTCCATGCGCCCCTCCCTCAGGCAGCTGCCGTCACTGGGGTCTTCTGTGTCTTTTAAACAAGCTTAGGCATGTTATTATATATTATTGTTTTTTAGCAGGATGTATGGCATACTGTATGTATTATTTTGTGGTTCACTTTTTCCCACCTGATAGCTTGTTTTACAAGATGCCTGAATAGTATTCCCTTTTATGGGTAAATAATATTTAGGTGTTTGCCAGTACCAATAATGCTGTCATGGATATGTGTATATCTGTAGGGTACATTTCTGGAAGTGTCAGAGCTTTCAGAGGGTAAGTTCTGTAAAGATAGTTTTAAAGTACTGATTTTGAAATAATTGCAGGCTTACCAGAAATATCGCAGGAACAGTAAATACGGAGAATTGCCTTTTGCCTTCATCTAGATCCTCCAAGTGCTAAATGTTCTGCTGCATTCGTTTTCTCTTTACCTAGTAGTATTTCGTGAGCTGTATCTATGGCACGTATTCTTTTCTAATTTGTTTGGCTTTTGAGTTAAAAGGGAGAGGTATTTTCTTTTTATATAGCAGAAGGGGGAGAAATGTTTTTATGTAGCCAAATTTGTCAGTGTTTTATGTCTTTTGGACTCGTGTAATACTTAGAATTCAACACTGACATTATGGAAAAAGTGCCCCTTTTATCTAACACTTATACTTTCGTTTTTTTATACATCATTACAAAATGATCACCATGATATGTCCAGTTACTATCTGTTTACTCTCATATTTTAAACCAAATCTTTGACTCAGTTTTATTTTTTGTTTCCAGATGGGCACCCAGCTGCCTAGACACCATTTATTGAATAAGTCACATTTTCCCCGCTGGAAAGCAATGCTGCCTTTATCATATATTACACTCTCAAACCTGTATGGGTCTTTTCTGGACTTTATTCCAGTAATCGGTCTTTTTATTCGTGTGTTGTGATACCAAATGCTTTTAGCTTTATTGTGTGTTTTATAACTAGGATACCTAATCCTCTCTCACTACACTTTTCTTTAAAGTGTATTTTTTACTGTTTTCACATATTTATATTTTCATATGTACTTTAAAAGCGACTGCTAAACTTCCAAAACTAGTTCTAAAAGAATCCCTATTGGTATTTGTATATAAGTGATTCAGTCAGAGAGAATTGATGCCTTTATAAATTTTTGTCTTTATACCAAAGAATAGGGTTAATAGGGGATTATATGAAATCGTGTGGGTGAAACTTTTGAAAATTGTAAAGCACTATAGAACTTAAAAGATCTTTCATTCAATAAAAAGAATAACTTAAGAAAAAAGAATAGGGTATGTATGCATTTCCATTTACTCAGATCTCTTTTTTCTTTTCCATATTTTAGTAGTATTTTAAAATCTTCTTCTGGATTTTGTTGGTAGGTATGAAGGATGTTGATTTTCACCTACTAAAATGTGGGCCTCTTTCTGAGTTTTAGTTTTTTAGGTGTATAATCCTATCATTTGTAAACAATGATTTTATCTTTATAGTTATTACTCTGCATTTCTTTATCTTATCTAGTTACGTTGGCTAGTATCTCTCAAACATGATAAATTAATGGCAGTGTGATAGTGGACTCTTTCCTCACCTTAATAGGATTGCTTTTAGTATTTTCCTGTCAAGGCAAATGTTGTATTGATATGTTTTACTCACCTCTTCCTGTTTTTAAGCAGTTTTTTAAAACTTAAAACTAGATGTTGAATTTTAGTAAATACCTTTTCATCTTGAAGATGATTGTGCATGTTTTTTCTTTCAAAATTTATTAATGTGTTTGAAGAGAAAAGCTATTGCCCAGCACCAAGAAAGATTTGCCATGTGGGAATGCAGAACTGGTTTTCCAGGTCATTCAGTTTGTCAAAGGGTCAGAAATCTGGATTCAGTTTTCTTTTTCTAACACTGCCTGGGCCAAACAAAATATATACAGGCCAGATTTGGAGACAGCTTCAGCTTTGAAGCTTCAGCTGCCAGTTTGTATCTCTCTTCCAGTTCATTCCCAGAAATAATTAGAACCTGGTGACAGTTTTATGTCATCTTATATAATTAAAGACATATTTTCATTTTTGTTTGGAAACAAAATCTGATTTGGGGAGATGATTTCCAGATTTTAGCTGACAGATATTATGGTTCTGTCTTATCTCTTTGTATGTTGTTTTTCTGATTTGTCATGATAAGACCTTTAGGTAATTATGCACTTCTTCTAATACCTATTAGTTTTAAGCAATCTTAAGTTTTAGACTTCCTTAGTATAAGCAGTATCCCCTTCTCTCACTTTAAAAACCATTGCCTTTGTTTTCTGCTCTTTACCCCCCACCCGCCAGTGGTGTGTGTATGTTCCTCTCTTTGTTCTTGTTTTTAGAAAAATATTACTTTTCGTTCTTTTACCTAACCTCTTTCTCTATGTTAATTAGTCCCATAAGGAGTGTTATATTCAGGAAAATACATTTTCTCTCCTTACAGATTCACTAGCACATAAGGAAAGTTCCTTGTATTGACTGATAACAAAGAGAAGGGAACAGAGAGCTTTTCTTTTCCCTAATAAAACTATGTCTGTAAAGGCACAGTTAAATAAAGAGTGAAAATTTTCTGATGAATTTCACCAGCAGGGCCCAAATCTACTTGATTTCAAGTGGATTCCTTACCTTATTGTAGGTGTCTGTTTAATTTCTGGTGAATACATCTAATTGAAGTTTAAAAAGCTGATTCTGCCAAATTAGAAATTTGCCAATTTAGGTATTATTTTACTAATTATATTTCCATAAATTCCACTTGCGATTTTTCTTCTGAGAGGAATAGCTTCAATCCTGGATCAAGGTTGAATAACAGTATGGGGTTGGCCAAAAGGTTCATTTGGTTTTTTTCCGTATGATGGCTCTAGTAGCACCTAGTTGTCTTTAACTTCATTCGAAACAATTTTGTTAGATTGTATGTGACGGCTGTCCTATCAGCGTGCATTTAAAAAAAGACTTAACTAAAACTGGTGAATTTTTGTGTAGCCATTTTAATATTGAAGAGAAGAAAAGAAGCAACATTTTCAGCATATGACGCTTTATTATTTCAAGAAAGGTAAACACGCAACCGAAACACAAAAAAAGATTTGTGCAGTGTGTGGAGAAGGTGCTGTGGCTGATCGAACGTGTCAAAAGTGGTCTGTGAAGGTTCGTGCTGGAGATTTCTCGCTGGACGATGCGCCACGGTCGGGTAGACTACTTGAAGTTGATAGTGATCCAATCGAGACATTAATTGAGAGCGGTCAACGTTATACCACGCGGGAGATAGCCGACATACTCCAGATATCCAAATCAGGCGCTGAAAATCATTTGCACCAGCTTGGCTATGTTAATCACTTTGTTGTTTGGGTTCTACACGAGTTAAGCGAAAAAATCCTTGACCGTATTTCCACGTGCGATTCTCTACTTAAACGTAATGAAGAGAAAACGTTCCGTTTTTAAAACAAATTGTGACGGGCGATGACAAGTGGATACTGTACAATAATGTGGAAAGGAAGAGACTGCGGGGCAAGCGAAATGAACCACCACCAACCACACCAAAGGCTGGTCTTCATCCAAGGAAGGTGATTTTGTGTATATAGTGGGATTGGAAGGGAGGCCTCTATTATGAGCTCCTTCCGGAAGACCAAACAGCCCCAACAAGTACTGCTCCCATTTAGACCAACTGAAAGCAGCACTCGACGAAAAGCGTCCAGAAATAGTCAACAGAGAATGCATAGTCTTCCGTCAGGATACCGTAAGACCGCATGTTCATTTGATGACCAGGCAAAAACTGTCGCAGCTTGGCTCGGAGGTTCTGATTCATCCTCCATATTCACCAGACATTGCACCTTCAGGTTTCCATTTATTTTGGTCTTTACAAAATTCTTTTAATGGAAAACATTTTAATTCCCTGGAAGATTGTAAAAGGCACCTGCAACAGTTCTTTGCTCAAAAAGATAAGAAGTTTTGGGAAGATGGAATTATGAAGTTGCCTGAAAAATGGCAGAAGGTAGTGGAACAAAAGGGTGAATACATTGTTCAGTAAAGTTCTTGGTGAAAATGAAAAATACATCTTTTATTTTTACTTAAAAACCAAAGGCACTTTTTGGCCAAACGCAATATTTAGCGTTGCAAAGGACTCTTCTATATTTGATCATAAATCATGAACTCATTCATGATCAAATATGCTATTTCTTTGTTTTAACTATTTATCAGTTCCTTTCTATAGGATAGGAATTTACCATTTCCTCATTTTTATTTGCATTTTTTTTATTAGTGATAACAGATCAGCTCAGAAAATACTTATTGTAAGTTCATTCCTTCTTTTCATGTTCTTTGAGTTAGTTTTGGGGTCATTTGATCACACCTACTGTTACTTACACTTAGAGCAGACTGAGTCTGCCCTGCTGATTCTTGATTTATATCATAGTACCCGTCCAGTTAGCGTTCTTATCTCTCTTAGGCTATGATTTGTGTTCATATGGGACTGTTAGGATTTTCTGCAAGATCCAATCATAGTCATCAGTCATTTCAGTTATTATGGAAATTTCAGCTTTTTCCACAGTTGATCATATATCCTCTGCAGTGGCAAAAGGTCTATAGCTTTTTATAAGTATGATGTGCTGTCTAAATCTAAGCCTAGAAGGACATTAATAATTGGTGAAATGCGGTTTCGAGGCCAAGCTGGACTGTTCTCGTTGTAATCTTCCTCCAGGGTCGATCCGTGAGGAGAACGGTGTGCGATGGCACGTGTGTCCCTACTGCACCAAGGAGTTCCGCAAGCCCAGCGACCTGGTGCGCCACATCCGCATCCACACCCACGAGAAGCCCTTCAAGTGCCCGCAGTGCTTCCGGGCCTTCGCCGTGAAGAGCACGCTGACGGCCCACGTCAAAACACACTCGGGCGTCAAGGCGTTCAAGTGCCAGTGCTGCATGAAGAGCTTCTCCACCTCGGGGAGCCTCAAGGTGCACGTTCGCCTGCACACAGGTACGGGCCTGCCGCCGCAGGTGGTTCACGGCGGGGTCTGCGCTGCTGGCTGGGCGTGTGGAGCACTCGTTGCTCTTTATTTCAGTGAGTGTGACAGTGACCTTCTGCGGGCTGGGCACACAGCACACGCTGTTGAGCAAAGTCCACGTGACCTTGGTCCTCATGGAGCCGATGGCCCGAAGAGGGAGCATTAAACTGTACCGCTTAGGAGTGAGGGCAGGAGTGCAGGGAGTGAGGAGAGGAGACCGCTGTGGAGGACGGGATTCAGATGCAGCCCAGGAGGGCCTTCCCGAGGAGGAGGCCGGCATCGCCCCCGTGGGGCCTCTGGGTTTTAGCTGGCACCCTTCAGGCTGGGAGTGTCTGTGCTGAGACCTCAATATCAATACCCACTCTACCTTTCGGATATTTTGTCATCCGAGAACTTCAGGCTCCAGTTCTGTTCATAGCAGTTTTATTGAGGTATAATTCACAAATCATAAAATTCACTCTTTTAAAGTGTGCATTTCAGAATTGTGCAACCCATGCCACTATCTAATTTTCGAACATTTTTATCACCCCCAAAAGAAGCCCCGTACCCATTAGCAGTAAGTTCTCCGAACCCTTTGCGGTTCCTGGGCTGAGCTGAGCGTGTAGATGAGTATTTGAAGAAGCTGAAATGAGACTGTTGTGATATATTTATGCCTTTCTTTGGAATCTGCATTTTCATTTGCCAGTAAAATTGTAAGAAAAGGAAGTTTCCTTCAGAAAAGGGAAGTCGTAGCAGAGGATTGTTAAAAGGATGTTATTACTGTCATCAGCAGCAGCAGTGACATTATTACTTACAATCAAACAACCACCATTTACTGCTCGCTTACCAAATGCTGGGTGCTGCTAAGTGCTCTTCAAACACAAGTGTGTAGAATCCCAGCAGCAAGCCTGGGGCCCCGTCGTTATTCCAGTTACAGAGACGATGATTTGAGAGAGGAGAGCAGCCTTACTCACGTTAGTGTCTTAAGGACCTACTAGGTGTTTGAACATCCATTTTACAATTTTAGGCTTTCTCCTGAAAATGGTAAATGCCCTGGTTTTTTTTCTTTTACTTAAAATGCTCTTATTACATGCCTCAACATCTGTAACGTGCACTGTATGCAAACAAGGGAGAATAACTGTTAATTTATAATGTCCATGAAATTATAAACATATAGCATGAAACAACAAATTGAGAATTCAAATCAGTATTAAAATACTAGAATTTTATGTTGGCGTTAACTGAGATGTATTTCTTTGGAATAATTCTACAGTCTATTTTATTTTTTATCAGGAGTCAGACCTTTTGCTTGTCCTCACTGTGACAAGAAATTTCGAACCTCAGGCCACAGGAAGACTCACATTGCTTCTCACTTTAAACACACGGAGTTAAGAAAGATGAGGCACCAGCGTAAACCTGCAAAAGTTCGTGTTGGCAAGGCGAACGTTCCAGTCCCCGATATTCCTCTGCAGGAGCCGATCCTCATAACAGACGTAGGTAAGATTGTCCTCCCTTGGTACTTTGCAAAGGCTGTATGAACATTATGGTCGGTGTAGTTAGATAGTTGTATGTGTCGTGCCAGTGGAGTTGTTGTTAAGGATTGTTTTGCTTTATGGGCCAGCAAGTTTCACAATTAAATTAAGATCCTAGTTCTGGCTCAACTGCTGCTCAGATTATGTTCTCGGTAAGAGGGAAGTGCTGTGTAAGTGAAGATGTTCCTATGTGAGTCCTCACCAAGGAAGACTGTACCTCAGTGGACCTGTGGGGTGGGTGGGTGTCCTGAGTGGGGCACACAGTATGCTGTGTCATTTACATCTTAGAAGCCCCACATGCTGTGTAACAGATCATTATCTGGGCTGCTTTAACCTTTGGATTAAAAGGTAAATCTGCCAGCTTCTAAGTTCTTTTTAGGCTTGGTGTTGTTATGATCAAGGTAAATTATGATTTTGTTAGCTAACTAAAAACACTTTATGAGAATCTTCATAAAAATGATTTTTGTAGGTCCTAAAACAGGATTAAAGGAAACTCATTAAGTTCTGTGCAAGAATTTACATTTTTATGCAGTTCTCCTGTATTTCATCATCTTAGGCGAGATAATCTAGTCTGTGAACAAAATTAATATCAAACAAAACATAATTTAATATAAATGAAGCTTAAATGGTAAAAAAAAAAGAGAGATACTGTAGACTAATGTCAGCTATAGTCCACTAATAAGGTGATCAGTAGTCATGAGCTTTTATGTATCTAGGAGCATAGCATCAAAATATATAAACCAAAAACAGAAGAAAGGAGAAACATTCAAATTCTGAACCAGAGTGAGAGACCCTCAGTTAGACTGGTGTAAACACAGTGAGACTGAGGAGGATTTGAAGCACACATATCAAAAGGGTGATTGAATGGCTTTAAAGCCTTCTACTCCAAAGTACACACTCTTTTAAATGTGAGTGAAACAGAAGTTGATCACATTCTAGGGTATAGAGAAATTTCAGGTTTTCAGAAATAGGTACTGTGAAGGATACAGTCTTTGATTACAGTTCAATGAAAACATAAATTAATAGAAAGTAGCTGTCTAAAGTTTCATTCTATGGAAAAGTAAGACTCAAAACTGCAATTACATCCTAGAAATGGGAACGTTTTTATAAACAGTGGGATGGACCAAAGCTATTATCAGAAAAGACGATAACAGCTTTTAAGAAGTATTTCTTACTAAAAAATAAGAACAAAAATAAATAAAATATATAACTCAAAAAGGTAGAAAAATAAAAAAGCAAGTAGCAAAAAGTAATTAATAAGTATAATAATTTAAGATAGAAGACAAAATTCTAGTGAACATAATTTTACAATTTTTAAAAAGTTAACAGTAGAATAGATAGCTTGACACGTCTCTAGTAAACTAAAGACCAAGAAAATATCTGTAATATTAGGAATGAGAGTCAAGCTGTAAGCACAGATACAGATGAGATAAAAATTGTTTGCAGATACTCTACAACATTTTGCTAATACACTTGAAAATTTAGATGAAGTGGACTTTTTCTAGAGTAACATGCTTATCAGAACTGACTCTAAAATAAATGGAAAACCCCCAAGAGACAACAAGTTTAAGAGCATACTCCCCAGATACCAGCCTGCAATGATTTTACGTATGATTTCTACTAAGCTTCCTAGGAACTGTAATTCTTAGGATGTTTAATTGTTTAGGGTGTAGACACTGATCGGAACTCCCATGGTGGGTTAGAACACTCTGATGTCCTTGTGCAGTTGTGGCAGCTCACAAAACAAAACAACAGACCAATTTCACTTAATGTGTATTTAATCTTCACTGTAGTCTCTAGGTTCTCAGTGATTTGTGTTATTCTTGAAATGCAAAAAAATCTCTAAAACTTAGGACAGACTAAAAACTTACTTAGCAGCCCTAGAATTATCCTTCATGCTTGAGGGTTAACAGTCAAATTACCAGTGTTTTCAGGTTGCCATGACTCAGGTTACACACCTGTGGGTTTCTTGCCGTTAAGTTTACAAATCCTTAGTTGAGTTGAACTGGAGCCCTGATTCTCCAGACTTTTTCCGAGGTTAAAATGGAGAACATTGTGCTTTTAGCTTCACAGACACCTGTATCTTAGACTAAATTAGTGGAAGCAGAATTCTCCTTTGTTCTAGGCTGAGTGGGACACATGGGGGAAGTGATTCATAGAGCTGGCTTCACATTGTAAAATGTAAAATATTTAAATATTTATTTTACACTTCGTCGTTATTTGCATTTGTGTCTGTCTCTTCTCTCTGAATCTGAGCTCCTTGGGGCCTATGTAGAAAAAGTGTGACTCTAATTATGTTTGGGGGACAGATCTTGATAAAAACACGCCAGAGAGGGTTTAGCATAGATTAGTTACAATTATTTGACTTAACTGGGAGATGAGATGTTCCAGTCCAGTCTAGTTACTTGAAGCTCAATACCTTTTACACTAATTACTGTCACTTAGGAAAGTATTAGAATGCATAAAAAAATACTACAGCAAGTAACTTACTCTCTGCATATTAAGGGAGCATTATTGGATAGAATAGTCCCATATAGTTGTGTAATTCTGAAAACTCCCAGAGCTGCGTGGGAACTTAAAAGTAGTCTTTCCCAAACTTGCCTACATTCCTCACTCGTCATTTTCACAGACGTAAAAAGTGGGCCCTAGAGAGGGTTCTAACATTGCTTTTAGGTTCTACAGCTAGAGCTCATGGTAGAACTAGAACCTGGGTCTTCAGACTTCTGGATCAGGGCGTGGTCAGTAAAGCTCACTTCCTCCCACACCCGTCAGCCTTGCGCCCCTGGCGCAGGAGTGTGGAGGAGCAGCCAGGGGCCCAGGTGGCCACTGGATCTTGGCATCGAGCACCACTAGTCTTCACTGAACACAGATACCGTGTAGTTCATTGCACTTGGGGCTGTTTTCACTAGACATGCGGTGTACTGTACTCTGAATGCTTTCTCTTCTAAGTTCAAGAACTAAGTTTAAATAAAACAGCGTGCAGACTGGGGAAGTATTGGAGTCAGGGTGATCGTAATATTTTGATCTGTAGCTGCTTCTGGATTTTCAAATCATATGTGTATATGACATATCTTGTTGTTTTTTTTTTTTAAAGAAATCACTGTGTTTTCTATATATGACTGTGCGTATGTGTGAGTTTATGTAATGGTGTATGCTCCCATCATTTTTGTGGAGCATAGATGTTTGAAAAATATTTTCTTCGAAGTGAGCCAGGTTTTGATTATCTATTATTTTTTTAATTTATTTATTTTAAATTAAAAGTGGGCTTTTGTTTTGTTTTTAATTAATTAATTAATTAGTTAATTATTTACTTATTTGGTTGCACCGGGTCTTAGTTGCAGCAGGCGGGCTCCTTAGCTGTGGCTCATGGGCTCCTTAGTTGCAGCTCGCCAGCTCCTTAGTTGCGGCATGCAAACTCTCAGTTGCGGCATGCAGGATCTAGTTCCCTGACCAGAGATCGAAGCCCGGGCCCACTGCGTTGGGAGCGCACAGCCTTGACCACTGCACCACCAGGGAAGTCCCTGGTTATCTATTATTTTAAACCTCAGCACTGTCATGATTGATCTTCCAAGTTTATATTCATGTTTTAATCATATTGATATTAGTGCATTTATCTTGCTTTTTTTTTTTTCCGGTACGCGGGCCTCTCACTGTTGTGGCCTCTCCCGTTGCGGAGTGCAGGCTCCGGACGCGCAGGCTCAGTGGCCATGGCTCATGGGCCCAGCCGCTCCGCGGCATGTGGGATCCTCCCAGACCGGGGCACGAACCCGTGTCCCCTGCATTGGCAGGTGGACCCTCAGCCATTGCACCACCAGGGAAGCTCCTTAGGCCAGCTTTTTTTGGGTTTTTTTTGCGGTACGCGGTCCTCTCACTGTTGTGGCCTCTCCTGTTGCGGAGCGCAGGCTCAGTGGCCATGGCTCATGGGCCTAGCCGCTCCATGGCATGTGGGATCTTCCCAGACCTGGGCACGAACCCATGTCCCCTGCATCGGCAGGCGGACTCTCAACCACTGTGCCACCAGGGAAGCCCTAGCCTAGCTTTTTAACAGAACTTTGTAAAATTATTAGACGTGAAAAATAAAGCATCGGAAAAATGAAGCCTGTTACTTCACTTTCTGAAGAGCTCAAGGTGGGACCCCTCCCCTCCCCCTGAAAGATCTCAGGATCATCTGTGGTTCTGTTTAAAAATAAATATGCCTGGATGCTGCCCAGAGACTGTAATTCTGTGTCTAGCCAGGAGACACTAAGGTAACAGTTGTATATACTGGATTGTTTATTGCAGCCCTGCAGTAGTGTACAGTTAGAAATAGGCAGAATGTCCGCCAGAAGTGCATTAAAGGAACTGGGTACACTGGTACAGTGGAATTCCTTGCCAGCATCCAAAGGGTGATGGGGATGATGTCATATGTAATGCCTTGGAGAGTTAAGTATATGTATGAAGTATGAACAGGTAGTACCAGAACAGTGTGTGTGGTTGATCCCACTTATGTTTTCGCATTACAAACTTCTGTTAAGAGTGGATACTAAACCGTTCATTGTGGTTGTCTCTGAGGGGTGTTACTGGGCACATTCTTTTGTTTTTCTTTTTATGATCTTGTGAATTATTTGAGAAAGGGCCAGAGGACTTGCACAAGAGTGTATTGGCAAGGGACTGGGTAAAGGGATTTGGTTCGTGGAGGGCAGGTGGGACTGGGGAGGAAGTGAAGACAGGCTGGGAGGCGGAGCTGGGCCGGGACAGGAGGCTCGAGCTCCTTAGGCTCGGAGGGGGCCTTAGGGGCCGGAGCTTCCAGGCCAGCCGCTAGAACCACAGACGTGCTGTTTCGGAAAAGAAAGGAGTAACTGAACATTCTGTTTATGGGACCTGTTTATGATGGAGAACTTGTTTGCTGTGGAACGTAGGTTCCAGAAGCCACAGGAGAAAGAGCTGGGAGAACAGTGGGGCTGGAGGGGGGACCCTGCACCAGAATGGGGGTGACTTGGAGAGGAGGATCGTCTGTGGGCCTTACAGGGCTCACAGCTTCAAGGCCTGGCACAGACAGCCAGTCTGAAGTCTCCCGGTAGATTCTGGCGTCAGGCTGCTTCAGTGCAGGCTGGAAGTCAGGGCCTGCCTGCCGCGGCAGACGGGTGGCGAGCTCTCTGAAGGTGCTGAATCGGGTGCAGCCTGGAGCCTTAGGGGTGCAGCCCGGCTCTGCCGTCTGATGAGCTTTGTGTCTACACTGCAGGCTAGGGAGGCGCTCATCCGGAACCCCGCTTTGCTAACTGACCTCAGGTCTGACTGGGAGGCAGTGAACCCCTGCACAGCCCTGCCCCCAGCACCCAGTATGGCTTTTTTTTTTTTTTTTGATGTGGGAAATGGCAAAGGCAATACTTTGTTTCCTTATTTGTGAATATCTTATTTTTTTTCCCTATGAAACAGGTAGAAGACAGCTATAGGAGGGCTTTTTACTTTTTAAAAATTACTTTCTGAATTTCATTTACTTTATCTACTTTCACGAACTTATACAATTTATATAACTAATTGCTTAAAATTATTTCACTTTCCTGTGTTGCTTTTTAGTGCATATCTTGTCTGACGGAGTCTATGAAATCAATGGCTCAGCTTGTGTGTTTGTGCACAGCCCATTTTAACGTGGGAGGAGAATTTTAAATTTGTTTCTTGGTGTTTTTCTTAGAAATCACTCATCCCGTTAAGTTCAGCAAATGCACAAGAAAGTGGCTTATCAGATGTTACTTGGAGCTTTTACAGCTTCAATTAAGTGGTACTTTATGCTAATAGTTACTGAACCTGTTTGCACAAGATACCGGGGAACTGTGCCTAACAGTTGCTATTATGTGTTGCCTGTGGACCTTCCTTGCAGAGCATTTGAGGTTCACAGTTTCACAAGCTTCACAGTGACCAGAGGAGATACCCTTTTTGGCTGCCAGTTTGGAAAATACTCACTTGAGTTTTCTGTTCTCTTCATAGAATCTAACATGATTCCCTGAAAGTAGATGTCCAATAAAGGTTGACCGTCAGACCGTGAATCAACGATCTTGGTTGGAATTTGTGCGTGCCTCTTCCCTTCCTTTCTTTCTCTGATTTTGTAAACACTGAGAACAGGATCATTAGTATATTCGATCGTATCTACGTGTCCTACTTGGCCAGTGCTCTTTGGCTCAGGGCTACATCTATGACCATGGGGCAGGCCCCAGGCTCCAGAAGCTATAGCCCAGGGAGTGGGGAAAGAGAAAACAGAACCAGCAGTGACAAGTGCTGGGACAGAAATGAGTCAGCGTGTGGAGGTGGGAAAGTGAGGCTCGTTAAGAATCACAGCACAAAGCTGCCTGGGTAGGAGCTGGCAGTGGGTGTGGAGAGAGGTGGGGACCGGTGCCAGGAGGCCGAGCCGGGTGGTCGCGGTGGCCCCGTTCTTGGTGGCAGACCACGGGAGGTGGTTGAGCAAATTGCCGTTCGGGTCCCGGCGCACTGTGCCAGGGACATTCTTCTGCTGGTGACATGAGAAGGCAGAGCAGAACATTCAGGAGGCTGGTCTAGGTGCGTGTCTGGCACAGAGCCATGCAGAAGAGTGAACGTGCGTCTGGGTTTGGGAATCGGCCCTTGTACGGCCATCTTGCCTCTGAGCGCCAGGCGTGTCAGCCTGTCTGCAGCAGACTTAGCGCGTGTGTCCTGGGGAAGGTGGTGGGGTGGACTGAAGGACTGAAGTTTTCTCTTCTTGAGCGCGAGAGAGGAGTTGTTGGGAAAAAGCAGGGCGATGCTGTGAAGGGTAGAGTGATGCTGGACCTGCCCGGAGGGCAGGGCTTTGCGTGGTCCCCATGCATCTCGCCAGTCCTGAATCCTTGTGAAATGGCTCTTCGAGTGTGTGCCCTGTGGATTGTACACACATCAATCACAAGGGAGGTTCTGTTATTTTAAAAAAATTTTTAATTTTTTGGCCGTGTCATACAGCATGTGGGATCTTAGCTCCCTAACCGGGATCAAACCTGTGCCCCCTGCCTTGGGAGGGCAGAGTCTTAACCACTGGACCACCAGGGAAGTCCCACAAGGGAGGTTCTGAATTCCCTTTGAAAAGTAAATGAGCTCTCATGCAGCATCGGGAAGTGGGGGTCCATTCAGTTAAGTCTCACATGCGAGCAAAGCGAAATAGAAATAGCAGTGGAAATGGCAGTGGAAATAGAAACGAGGAAACAAGTTTAAGAACACTGGAAAAGTGGGATCTCCAGGACTGGCAAACGGCAAACTTGACGAGCAGCTCCACAAGTCTGAAATCCCTGTGGCCCCCGCATGACTAGGCAGGTGGGGTTCCCTACATACAACTAGGAGAGCTGGGGGAACAAGCAGGTTTTAGGGGACAGGATTGAGCTGTAACCCGCACTGTTAGGGACAGTCTGGACAACAGTGTGTTAGGAGGTGCCTGTTGGTAATCATCGCATGGAAGTGAGTGGCACAGCTGAGGGAGCAGGGAGTGTGGCCAGTCCAGAGTCTTGGCTGATAGCTGCACTGTCTGGGAGAGAGGAGGAGCAAACAGCCCAGGTAGAACCGACAGTGTACGTCTTCCTCTTGTTGTTCCAGGTAAACATTAAGTAATTCAGAGGGTTCAGATGTATGTTTGTCCTGAATTTCATAAATAATTCAGTTGCTTGATCAAGACATACTTATTACACGGTCAACCTAAGGGCATATTCTTTATTCACTGAAAGTATGTAAAACGTGAAATATTTAAGGTTGTAATTTTGCTGGTTACAGCTTTTCTTTTAATAAAATTTCTGTGAAAACCCTGACTTTCTTAGAACAAAAGATCATGTTGGAATCATTTCTGTCTGAGCTTGTTATAGTACCTAGGGTACAGTCTTCATACTGAACAAATAAGGGACTTAAAAACTCTGATTAACCTAAATGTTGATGTAGTTATATAAATTGCATGCCAACAGATGCTCATATAGAAAGTTAAATGTAGAAATCCGTGAAAAATTGGCTCTAGAACAAGGAGAAGTAACTGTGACAATATAAGTGTTTCTTATGTCGAAAATAATATCTCTCTTATATTAACTCTCTAAGTGTTTCCTGGTAGGTGTTCTTTAAATAGCGAGTCCCTAACACAATTAACATAGCAATTAGTCGCAACATTGGAATCTGGCTCCTCAGGATATTTATCTTCTGGGTAAAGCAGATGCCTTTTGACATTTCTTAGTAGCACTGACAGTGAATTATTCCTGATTTTCTTTTGGTTTGTAGGTCTTATCCAGCCCATTCCAAGAAACCAGCTTTTTCAAAGTTATTTTAATAATAATTTTGTAAATGAAGCAGATAGACCGTACAAGTGTTTTTACTGTCATCGTGCCTATAAAAAATCTTGCCATCTTAAACAACACATCAGGTAAGGTAATGTAGATTCAGAGATGGAAATTTATAGCTACAGTGATTTAGTGATCTGGTGACTTGTGGAAATACTAAGAATGGTAGTGTTAGCTTTTGTTATTTAAAATGTCACTTTTGACCCCAGAATATTTACTGATAATTGATATTTTCATTCTCCAGTGTCTTGACCAAAATGTTTTACCCACAAACAGCCACTGAACTTTATTTACACTCCTGTTATATTTCAGTATTTGCAATCTCTGGGACATGTCAGAGAAGTGTTTGGTTTGCTTCATGAGGATTATGCTCTTCCAGTTTCTCGGGTGTATTCATCAGGTTAATTCTTGGTGCTAGCAACAGTGAAGAGGAAGTATTGATAGAAACCTGATCACAAGAGACAGTGAGGGGTCATGAGAAGAGGACAGAACGTAGAAGAGGATGTGGGGTCTGGTTTTGTGTCGGTTGTATGCGAGCCCCGGGACTTCAGATGAGTCACCTGAGCGCTGAGTCTCAGGTCCCATTGTGGGGACGTGAGAGCTGAGTCTCTCTGCTGCTGAGCTCAGAAAAGGGGTGGCCAAGTGAGATAATTACTAGAGTGCGTTCTAAATTAGAAAGCAGTGTGAAAGCGTAAGACGCTTATTCATTACCATTTTTATTCTTTTTAGATCACATACAGGTGAAAAGCCTTTTAAATGTTCTCAGTGTGGAAGAGGCTTTGTTTCTGCAGGAGTGCTCAAAGCACACGTCCGAACGCATACGGGACTTAAATCTTTCAAGTGTCTGATATGTAATGGAGCTTTCACTACTGGTGGTAGCTTACGGCGACATATGGGCATCCATAACGACCTTCGTCCCTATATGTGTCCCTATTGCCAGAAAACATTTAAGACCTCACTAAATTGCAAAAAGCACATGAAAACCCATAGGTAGGTATAATTCTGATGGTCACTTTTTAACAGTCCTTATAATTCCCAGATGATGGTGGGGAGCGTTTTGAAGAAATAGTTGTCTTTGTTCCCTTTATTATTACTTCTAGCGGGAGGTGTATGAGCTAAAGAAACTTCTGTATCAGTGTTCAGTGACCTATTGAGAACCATAGACTGAAGCGCATCATTTTTATTTTTAACGTAGTGTTGAAGTGGTCAGTGTTGGCCTCAGTGCTTTTCTAAACTCTCTTAAACTGATAATCAGTAGTAGATAAAATGCTAGATAGACAGTGTCTACAATAATGAGGTGATGAAGGTTTCAGAAAAGAAAATCTTGGTCAACTCTGTGACCTCTAGGCATATCATTAGTGTTATCTGAATGGTAATTATTGTAGGTTGTTGACAGAAAGAAAATATGTTTTAGCTAACATAAATCCATCATTAAAGCTAACTTAGATTTTTTTTTTTTTTTTTTTTTTTTTTTTTTTTCCGGTCCGCGGGCCTCTCACTGTTGTGGCCTCGCCCGCTGCAGAGCACAGGCTCCGGATGCGCAGGCCCAGCGGCCATGGCTCACGGGCCCAGCCGCTCCGCGACATGTGGGATCTTCCCGGACCGGGGCACGAACCCGTGTCCCCTGCATCGGCAGGCGGACTCCCAACCACTGCGCCACCAGGGAAGCCCTAACTTAGATTTTTGCTTGCTTAGAGGGCTGCCTCATCTGTAAATGGAGGTGACCCAACGAGCCCTTCCAGAGATGCATTTCTGACTGTGTCTGGAGCTTATTCAGTGGTGCTTCTGTGAAGCCACGGAATTCTGTATTGTAACGGAAAGCCTGGACAAGGTGACCACGACCACCTCCTAGGAGACTTTGAGAGCAAGAGTTACCAGGCTTACCAGGAAAGAATATTAGCCTTCTGCCCTAGAATGTTTACCTTTGAGCCGTGTTTTAACCCAGATGTCTCTGTCCAGGTATTACCTACCAAACAAAACTCCCAACTGATAGAATAAGGTAACTCTGAGAAAGTGTTTGGGCTTTATCCCTCTGGATGCCGAAGCACACTTGACAGAATTGACTCTCCTCGATTTTGGTACAGTTGATCGTGTAGCCGAGGAGTTTAAGTGCTTCTCGAGACCATCTAGGGAATGTGAGATCGGTGGTGTCAGTTAGGGGACTCTTGCCAATTATATATACAGTTATACTTGGCTGCATTTTATGGAGGAAGCTCTGTGCTTCACACGCATTCAGGAGCTGGGGAGTTCATGGGGGCGGAGACGCTCAGAGCATGCGCTGCTGCCCCCCTGCCAAGAGAAATGGGGCGTGGCCACAGCTTGCCCAGAGCACGGTGAATGACGCCTCTCTGCAAGATGCCCGGCCTTCACAGTGTGCTTTTGTGGTGGTGTTGGTAGTACAGTTTACAGGCTCAGAGGCCAGTGCTGTAATTTCTGGGGAGAGGGTCAGCTGTTTTTAGCCGGGTCATTTCTGTCAGTGGAGTGTTGCTTTGGCCACTGCTTGTCCAGGGTTCCGCTGAGGGACACGTGCCATGCTTACGCCAGGGGAGAGTGTGCGTGACTTTCAGGTGGCAGCGTAAGGACGGGTAGGTCTGTCATTGCAGAGTTGGGGGTTTATCTTATAGATGACGTGTACTGTGAACCTGCCTGTGAGCAGGCAGCAGCTCCAGTCGTTTGATCCCTTTGTTTGAAGTCTTGGGAATTCCTAAAATGCCATATACACTTACATTAAAAATAAAAAGTCGCTGTAGTAAGAGTTGTGAAAACACCCAGGCAAACAAACAGAAAACAAGGCTCCACCAGTCACAACAGAGGGCACATTTCCTCTCCTTCAGGGTGGTGGAGAGGACCCCGTGAACCCATGGCACCACTGTACAGTCACCCTGTGGTGGAGGTGTGACAGTGCGTGTTCTTTCCTTTGCTGCTTTTCGGTACATTTTTGTTCCCCCCCTCCTCAGTAAAAGTAGTCGAGAAGTGACTTTTTTTTTTTTTT